TTTTCTTTTCTTTTTGAAAACCAATAAAATATTTTTTTTTTAAATCCTTGTTTGTTTACAGTTTTGACGGTTTGTTCTCGGCTTTTTTTCTTTGCTCAGTCTCACATGACATGCTGAGAGTCCCATTTGGGTTTTCTAACTTCCTTAGGAAAGAGCCATTTGCCAGTTCAGAATGCCAGCCCGTCACACTGCCTTATTTAGGATAGCCTGTTTTCTCCAAGATTTTGCAATGCAGAAGTCTTTTTGCCAGTTTAAGAAAAGTCAAAAAGGAGTGGCTTGTAAAGTTTCCACCCACAGAGAGCTCCACCCACAAAAAGGGCCAATCGCTAGAAGGGCCCTTCTTCATGGACCTCATTCCCAAGCCCTTGAAACCCAGGGCAACCGAAGCAGGAGGATCCAAGGCCGTTCAAAATCAAGTCTCTTCCCTGGTGTTCTTTGTCCTAATTAACAAGGTTTTGGCTCTGGATAAACATTCGCTGGATTATGGAGAAAGCAAGAGTACCAGAAAAACATCTACTTCTGCTTCATTGACTATGCTAAAGCCTTTGACTGTGTGGATCACAACAAACTATGGCAGGTCCTTAAAGAGATGGGAGTACCAGACCACCTCACATGTCTCTTGAGAAACCTGTATAAGGGCCAAGAAGCGACAGTTAGAACCGGATGTGGAACAACTGATTGGTTTCGCATAGGAAAAGGAGTACGACAAGGATGTATATTGTCGCCTTGCTTATTTAATATATATGCAGAGTACATCATGCGAAATGCTGGCCTAGATGAATCACAAGCGGGAATTAAGATTGCTGGGGAAAAGATCAACAACCTCAGATATGCAGACGATACCACTCTGATGGCAGAAAGTGAAGAGGACCTCAAGAGCCTCTTGCTCAGGGTAAAAGAGGAGAGCGCAAAAGTGGGCTTGAAGCTCAACATCAAAAAAACTAAGATCATGGCATCCGGCCCCATCACTCCTTGGCAAATAGAAGGGGAAGCATTGACTTCGCTGGCCCCTTCCAAGGACTGATATTCCTGGTCACTGTGGACTCCTACTCTAAATGGTTGGAGATTAGCCTTGTCACCACCATGTCTGCAAAGACTGTCATCCGCATGCTGCACCAGATCTTTGCAACCCATGGACTGCTGGACATGATAATCTCCGACAACAGGGCAGCGTTCACATTGGCAGAGTTCCAGGATTTTCTCCAGAGGAACCTAATCTGGCATGTGAGGTCAGCACCCTTCCACCCCGCAACCAACGGGCAAGCGGAGCGAATGGTGCACACCGCAAAGGAAGCCCTCAGCCGGATCACAGATAGAGACTGGGAGTTCTGACTAGCACGCTTCCTCCTGACTCAGCAGATGACACCAAACCCCATCAACGAAACTTTTGATGGGCCACCGGCCCACCATTCTGCTGGAGCAGCTGTATCCAAACCAGGCGCCAGAGTCGAGAAAATTGACCGAACGAAGGGAGGCTCACCAGGGGTTCTTCCCAGAAGACCCCGTATTCATTAGGAACTTTGGGAGGGGACCCCCGTGACTGGGGAAAGAGACACGGCCTGGAGCTGGACTGAGGGAAACTGCTAATTTCTTTGCATTTACGTGCTAGGCCCAACTAGGGAGAAACTGTAGACTAGAATTGCCCTGTTAGGAGATATTATGAAGGCTTTGTTGTCAGATATTGTTTAAAATTCTTTCCCATATGTCAGCCAGTCTGGCCTGCTGAGTGAGAGAGGAGGCCCAGAGCTTTGTGAAGGGAACTGCTAAATTCTTTTCAGGCCTGAGAGAGAGGACTAAGGCACCTCCCTTGAACTGAGGCACGAACGTCTTGGCAGCTCCACAAAGTGGCAGCCAACATCTTACCTGAACATCATTTATCACTGTATAGTAATTGCCAAACCCAAAATTGTATTGCCAATGGCATCCATTCAATATTGATTTTAGGAAAAAATAGATAGTTGGAAATTGGAACGTTTCGCAGAAAAAACAATGAACTGGAAAGTTTCCCCATCCCATCCCTCTGTCAACCTTCTTTAACACGGCAGTCCACAGTAAAGTTTACTTCAATGGGCTTAGAAAATTGTGACTCCGCTCAGCTTTGCTGGGTATTTCTTCTGTCTCCGGGGTAAACCGTGGAGCCAGCCTCCTATTTGAAGGAGGACACTTGAAAGAAATCCTCACCAGTGCCTCAAGGAGACTCATGATCTGGGCCTGGACAGGGACTCCAGCAGAGATACCTCTCAGGCTCCCCTAGAAATTTCCAGAATCCAAAGCACAGAGGAGAAGAGAGAGCTAGTGTGTAGCAGGCGGTGGAAGTGGGAGGGCGGGCAGCGGGAAGATGAGGGTGGCCCACACCAGTACTCTGCCATGAGACGGCAGCCTTGACAGCCTACACATTGTGTTCTGTAGAAGGGGGTGAGTGGTATTGACACTGGGGCATGTGTGATAGTGGGCAGGTGCGGGGGGGCTGCAGTGGGGAGAGTCACCGCCTGGACCCTGAGATGATTCTCTTGTTCTTGCTCCTTTCCTGCCAGCACCGCCACTGCCTGGGCCTGCTAAGCCCCCCGCTGCCACTGCCAGAGTCCTGGCTTCTCACGGGGAGGCAGGAGGGTCCCAGAGGCCAACGGAACAGGTGGACACGGTCCATGTTCAGGCACGGCCAGGGTAGCAAATTGCCCACAACGGAGTGCGTCACGAAGGGTGAGGAGCAGCCATGGGGGAGGGTTGCTTCCTGTTACCTGTTGGGGGGGGGATGGAGGGGGACGCCCACTGAAGCTTCAGCATTATCATCATTTCTGCAGACATGGGGGGTGGGATTTTATTAAACGTGTAATGGTGACGGCAGTGGAGGGATTACCACGTGGCATCCCTCAAGCTGAGGGGGAGAGGCTAAAATTAAACCTGGCATCTGTCTCACTTTGTCGGGCCGTGTGTGCCATAAAATGTAATGCCAGGTACCGGAAACCTTAACTCTATAAAGGACGCAGGCAAACCCAATTAACGATATAAATTCTTACTGAAAGTACACAAACACGAACACTCTTACAGTATTCTCTTTATTTACGAGTCTTTGATAACTCTGAATTACTGCATCCAACTCTGGAGTCAACGTCTGTGCTGTAGCAATCTTGATATGCTGTTCGGGGGGGTCTCTGTAAGCTGAGACATACTTTCGATTTATGGACATTCATTACAAATAAAAGCTGTTCCCCGATGTACATTGTTCCAAACATGCAGGATTTTAAAAGCAAAAGCCTTAAATGAGGGTAAAATTTGGTAAAACTTGCTAAGGCCGACTTCAGAAAGCTTATCCTGCAGTAAAGCATCAAGGTGCTCCCCCTGATCCTACCAATGAGAGGATGACACAAATCACAACTTGTGCGCTTCAGGTCTTCTACAGACCCACCCAATTTAGCCCCCTTAAACTAAAATTAGCGGCTAAAGGGGTATTAGCTCTGTAAAACATCCAAAATATCCTAACTCTTCTTACATATTAATAGTGGCTGTAATATTTATTAATAGTGGCTATAGTAAATTTCAATGAAGCGGATTGGGAAAAACCCTAATCCTTTTTATGCATGGGGTGGGAAATATGGGGCATCCACTTATTTTAAAGAGCTATGGCCCTTCCTTAGCTGAGGTTGTTTTTCCCCCCCTCCTTCCGACAGATAAAGAAACCCTTAATGATGGGCTGGCAATGGCTTGGAAGGGAGGACGTTATTTACCATTTCATGTCTGGGATGTTATTTACCATTTCAGCTGCCTATTTCCACACACTAAGCCTCTATCAGAGGAGCAAAATACACACACACCCTTTAGGCCTGCTGGCCACTCTAACGCCGACACTTTTCCAAACTAAAGTAGTTAGACAAAAAAAATATCAATTTTCTCACTCTGCTCAAAGAACACACAATCTCAATGGAGGAATTCAAGGGGGGTCATGAGGAGTCAGAGGTGGGGAGTAAGTCTTGGCTCATGGCTTAGTCCTGGTTGTTTCTGGTTCACAGAGACTGAGGGGGGGAGGTTTCACGGTCTGGGGGAATCTTACTTCTCCCTCCTGATCCTCTCTGGGAGAATCTGGGGGTGAGTGGGGAAGACAGTTGGGACTGGGAAATTCGGCCCCCACAATGTTCACACTGCAACTCCAACAATATCTGCCCATTTCTACAATATTGTATTTATACGGCAGTCCAACCCCTTTGAACTTGCTGGGTAGTTGAGTTGGGGGACATGAGCATTCCCTTTCATCCCAAATTAATCCTACTGCCAGAACTCTGTGGGCTGTAAAGCGGCGAGATCCCCAAAAGCTCACAGCAGGCTGGACTGAGGAGGGTATAGGGTTGGGGGATGCCTCTCTAGAACTCGTTTTCAGACCCACCCACCCCTCCGTTTGTAAATTAGGGAAGCTGGCTGTTCAAATGCTCTCTTATGCCAGTAAAAAACAGGCTGTAGGTATCTCCCATCGTCAGTTTGCATATTTCTGCACAAAATTGGGAAAACAGAAATGTTTTTGCCAGTTTTCCAAGTGTCAGAAAGAGTTAGCTTGGCAGATATTCTAAAGTAATGAGTTTCAAAGAGGAGGGCAATCATTCATACTTCACTACTTTCTGAACCTCCAGTATCTGGGCATTAGAAGAAGAGCCTCATCTGAACCAACTATAGGAATCTTTGCAGGGATTTTCTGAAGCACAGGAAGGTAGGACCTCTGTCTGAAGCTCAGTGAGCATTTATGAGGTTCCTCCCCTGTGTGGACTCATCAGTGCTTCAGGAGATGTGAGCTGGTCCTAAAATTCCTTCCACCCTGAGACCACATTCTGGTTTTCTTCCCTGTGAGACCTAGTTCAGTCTTCAATCATGCCTAAAGCGCTGTCCACAGTACAAGAATTCTTAGATGCTGTTGAATCTTTCTCCACGCCGAGGACAGTTAAAAGGCTTCTCTCCTTTGTGAGTTCCTAGGGGCCCTTCAAGAGTTCCACTATAACTGAATCTTTTCTGTACTCTCAGCATTGAAAAGGTTTCTCCCCTGTGTGGGTTCTTTGATGGTGTTGAAGAGTGCCACGCTCACTGAATCTCTTTCCACACTGTGAACATTCAAAAGGTTTTTCCCCTGTGTGGGTTCTTTGATGCTGTTGAAGAGTGCCACTCTCACTGAATCTCTTTCCACACTCTGAGCATTCAAAAGGTTTCTCCCCCATGTAGGTTCTTCGGTGCAGCTGAAGATGGCCACTCTGACTGAATCTCTTTCCACACTCTGAGCATTCAAAAGGTTTCTCCCCTGTGTGGGTTCTTTCATGCCGTTGAAGATGGGCACTATGACTGAATCT